CTCGGCCGGGGGCAGGAGGGAGGCGTACCGGCGAGCCGAGCTCCTGCTGCCCCAGGCCCACGGGCTGGACGCGGCGGCGCTGGCCGAGAACCTGGGGCTGCACGACGTGGCCCATCAGATGGAAGAGGTGCAGGTAAGGCCCGGGCGCTGGCCCCAGCGGCTCCCTGCCTCCCGGGCGAGGGCAGCCAGCCCTGCTTTGAGAGCCAGGGGCACCGTCCAGGCTGGGGGGGGGGGCAGATCCCAGACTCGCCCGCTCTAAAGGACCTGTACTTCTTTCCGCAGAACGTGGAAGACCAACACTTGCTAATGCACGACCAGACAGTCATTAGAAAAGGTCAGTAGGCGCTTTTTGCTTCCCTCTACCTTGGCCTCGCCACGTCGTCGAGCAGGATTCCCTAGTGCGTTTAATCGAGAGCCTCTCCGCGGCAGGAGGCCTGCGGGTCGCTGCTGGGAGCAAAGGAGGGGGTCTAGATCCCCAATGACTGTGCTGGGAAGCAGTGTGGGAAAGCCAGAGGAAGGCTTGAGGCAGGGAACAAAGGCACGGGCCACACCGGGAGCTGCTTGCCAGCAAGTCCCAGGGATGCTCCCAGCCGTGCAGAGGGAGAGCAGGCCGTTCGCTTTTGCTTTCAGCCTTGCCCTGTGGGGGGCGGCAGCACTGGGGCAACCAAGGACATCTCGGCTCTCCCAGCGCCTTGCCTCTTCCCCGCCAGGACAAGGCTTGCGGGGGGAGCGGCTTGCGGGGAGCTTATCTGGGGGAGAGCGCTTGGTAACTGCTGCTTGAACCAGGTTTAAAAACATCTTGACTTGGCTGGCAAGCCTTGGCTTTCTTTTCTTGCTGCTGGCCAACCAAGTGGCCCTTTAAAAACCAGGGCAGGCTTCCTCTCAAGGGGACTTCAAACAAATAAGTATCTGAGGAAAAGCAGAAGCGCTTGTCAGAAGCTCTGATGGCTGAATTAGCTCATGGACGAACTGTTCTGCTGTCAGATACACCCCTCGAGTGCCCCTGCATGTAGTAAATATGGGTAGGCTTTGCTGTTTTAACTCTTGCTCGCATTAGTTGCCCATTGGAATGATTTAATTGCTGAGCGGCTAGTGGACAGGATTTCAGCATGTTGCTATGTTAATTCTGGTGCGTATCTCTGGCAAATACGGTATCCCTGCTCGGGACTTAGAATGGCGCCTTTAAACACAAGCTGTCTTGCTCTTGGTTCTGGTCTCGGCTGGATATGCGTCTTCTATTGCAATATTTGGAGAAGAGCTGAACTCGAGGGAGAGGCTGGTCTCTCAGCTGTGAAAGTAGAGGAAGAACGCTGTCCTGTTTTGGCACTTCATTCTTTGTATCGCGCTGCTTGTGCTTGGCTGGGCAGGGCGGGGGACCTCTATCCCTATCTTTTGATTTGAAGGAGTTTTCTGGTGTGTTGCTAACTTACCGTCTGCCACTATATAAAGTTTTATAGTCTTGCTGTGCCATTTCTGCGTCCAAATTTGTTAACTTCAGAATAGTTTCATTGGTACACAACGGGGTTTTGGGGTGGGGGGGGTTAATTTTTTTGTGGGTCTTTTTACATGACTTTTGAAAGATTGTGACACATTCTTAATTGTGATGCAGCAGCTTCTTGAAATGTGCTGTGAGGACAGCAGGAACAACATAATCAGTGCCTGTTAGTAGCTGTGCATGCTCCATCTAGCCAGTGGCGTTGTAGGTTAGGATTTAGGGTGAGATTCACTGGTGAATATTTAACATGAAATAAGGTTTGACTCCGTGTCTTCGGAGAAACCTCAACTATTGCTTCCTCGTTGTATAAAATACCTGCTTTCCCACCTCCTCCTGCAGGTCCTATTTCCTTAACGAAAAACAGTGCTCTGGGTCTCCCCTGCCAGAAGGATGGATTAATTGGAGTGGTGATAAACCCCAATGAAGTATTTTGTTCTGTTCCGGGGAGGCTTTCTCTGCTGAGTTCCACATCTAAATATAAAGTGACAGTAGCAGAAGTTCAGAGAAGGCTCTCGCCTCCAGAATGCCTAAACGCCTCTTTGCTGGGAGGCGTACTCAGAAGGTAGGCTGCTATTGCCCCGCACCTTTACCCTAAAATAGATATTGTTGAATGATTTTTGTTGCAAGGTTTGTGCAGAGATGGGGAGGGAAGAATTGTTTGTCTAAAGGATTTTCTGGGGAAAAAAAAATAACGCTGAATTCTAATAGGCTTTGGAAATAAAACTCCTTGTTTGCACTTCTGGCACTTCCCAAAGAGAAGTGCTATAACAGTTCTGACAGCAAATTCTCTCTCTCTCTCTGTGCTTAAAATCTGATTGATTCCATCTTTGAAACGGCAACAAGAGAATTTTTTTGACGATGTTTCCTAGTGCGATGAGAAATAATCTTGTCTGTAAAACTGTCTTGAATTGTGCGTCTTTATGTATCGCTTAGACACTCTCTATGTCCTTTAACTTTTGTAAACTATTGAATCCATGTAACGCTCATTGTTCGGCCACCATTTTTTTTTGATGGTGCAGTTTTAAAGGCAAAACGCGTTTGATCTTGTTTTTCTGATCTGTTTTAGCCTGACGGCAATAAAAAGTAGGTCATTTGAAAACAGAGCTTGTTTTCATTTTTCCCCCAATAGATTCTTGTTGCATGTTAGTAACTCAAGTTTTCCATTTTCAAAATAAGTGCTGCTCCCCCCCCAGCTAAATAAGATAATTTCTCTCTCTAATTACAGAGCCAAATCCAAAAATGGTGGCAGATCACTAAGGGAAAAACTGGATAAAATTGGCTTGAATCTTCCAGCCGGTAGAAGGAAAGCTGCAAATGTGACTTTATTGACGTCTTTGGTAGAAGGTTAGTTTTTAGATGCGTTTCATGAAAAAAAAAATTGTTGTTACTGTTAGGCATATGTCTTCTAATTTTGCATGCAAATTGAAGCCTAGAAACTACCAAACAGAATAAAGCTTTTAGAAAACGAGTTCCAGAAAATAAACAAACAGTGCTGTCTACTAAACCTCTCAACATGTTAATGCAAATAAGACCTTTTTATTTGGGATCATCCTCAGAACAAATTGTAGTGTCCCATGCAAGTAACACTTGATCTGAAAGGTTGTTTAAGTATATGAATGTGTTCCACCTCTGCACCCCCCCCCCCCCCCCCCCCC